CTCTGGTGCTGTCCCCCGCAGGACCATGGGTCAGTGAGGGGCATCATGTCTGAGACTAACTCTTTTAGGAGTAGAAAGCTTTGTCTTTTTTCCCCAAGGAGCCCTGGTGGTTTTGAGCTGGTGACTTTACAGTAAGCAGCTTAGTGCACAGCCACTATGCCACCGGTCTTCCTACAAAAACCTCTTACTGTTGCCCAGTCAGTGAGCTTTGCTTAGAGAACCCAACCAAAGACCAGGAGAAATACAGCAATTTCATCACACTATTTCCTTTCTGGGTTCATACTTTAGAAGGTTTGTGAATGTTAAATCATTATACTTTAATGAATAAGTTTGTCCATCAGCATTGTTTGACACACACTGTTGACTATAAATAGGCTCCAAACATTTGAAAATTAATTTTTGTCATTAAAAAATAATAATTTCTTTGAATACATGGAACAACTTCCTTTGGAAGCCAGATGTCTACAACAGTGACTGCTCTTAAGTTAACCATCCATGTCTCAGCTGATGTAACGTTCAGCAATCCCATTCATCACAGACACCAAGGGTCTGCGGTCTTGTGGGGAAATAAGGTAGAGATGCAGCACTGATGCACACCTTGATTTTAAATCTGCAGTATCTCCTTGTTCTCTTCAAATGTGTATCTCTTTCTTGTTCTAAATACATTTTCTGTATGAGTACAATTAAGTGTTCTGAAATTCCTATTCTTCTCAAGGTTATCTGTAATATGTAATGATCCAACAGGCAGATGCCTTTTTGTAATCAATAAAACATGTAACTATCTCTCTGTTATTCTCTTCTTTCACTCAAGAGCTATTGGAATGCTATATACCATAATATACCTCATAGCAAGACTTCTGAATCTGATTTTAATTTCTTGGCAGTTCCTTGTCCATTAATTTCTACCTTTATTGTAAACCTATCTTTAGCCAACTTTTCCTTGAGAGTTTAGCCTTTAGCCAACTTTTCCTTATGAGTTATTGGTGTTATTGTTCAATAACTGCTGCGTATTGGGCTTCCTTTCTATGGAATTTGCTCAAATATGGATCACTTGTAGTTCAGTTGTTCAAGTGGGTGTCCTCCAAATTTATTGCCGTAGATGATTGAACACTTTAAATGCTATATCTTCTTGTTCAAATATCTAAATTGGTGATGTTCTGTCAATTCTTGGAGCTTTATTTTCAGCCTTCAGAGAAAATTGGACTTCTTCCTTCAATAACACTAGTTCTTAACTGGGTTACCTCCTGAAATAGCTGAACATTGATCAATTCTTTTGTGTACAATGATGTTATTCTTTCCATATTCTTTTGATTCTTCCGGCATTATTCAATATTTTGACACTAAAATCTGTTAATATTGTAATTGCTTGCCCCCCC